TCGTGGACTCTACATATAGATCAATTGAGAAAAAAATTGACTCCTATTGCTGGTATTATATATAAAATTCGAAATTTCATTCCTGTTGAATACCTAAAGAGTATTTATTTCTGTCTTTTTTATTCAAATATACAATATCTAATATCTATTTGGGAAAGTACAAATATTTCACGTTTGAAGCCACTCATGAAATTACAAAATAAAACAATAAAGTGCATTTTCAATCTACCTTTTTTATAATCAACTGCGAATCTATACAAACCTAAAGACTTGCTGAATCCAGTTTCATTATATAAACTCAAAATCTGTTGTTTTATTCATTTTGTCAGGAAGGAATTGAAAATATCGAATTTGAATTTTAATGAAGTTAATACGATTCACGCCCATGAAACAAGGCAATTCAATTTATTGATAGCAAATAATTATAAGTAAAATTTTGGTAAACAATCAATATTCCATAATGGAATAATTTTGTATAACTCCTTACCTAATGAGTTGAAAAATATAGAAGAAGCAGAAAAAGTTAAAATGAAATTAAAGAAATATCTGCTCAGTAAACTTTAATAGTACTAATCATTCACAATTTGATTACTTGTAATGGATTATGATATTTTCATTTTATATTTTATTATAATTCTTTTTTTTTAGGAAAAACAATAATCGTACAATTATTATTGTTTCGATTTATTATGTTTTATATGTATGTTTTGTTGTATATATCCCTATTATAAACAATAATGTTTCTTGGGGTAATAAAGACAATCAAATCCACTGCCCAGGTAGAACATCATATTGGCTAGAACTTGGTTTCATATTAGCCCAATATTCGAATATTGAATATGGAATTACCAGATCGCACCAATATCAAACCAATTTTTCATTTCAATATTCGATCATCAATCCATTGCCAATATTTTAATAACATTGAAATTTTGTGACCAGCCGATATCAATTTGTCAATATTTATTTGATATTGGAGGAATATTAACGATCACAATATGTCAATTTTCATGATGGGCTGATATTGCATTTCCAATATCAAATAGATCTTGGAAAAAAATATTGACTCAATATCCAATTTATGATGGTTAGTGAATATTGCATTTCATTGTCCAGCAATGTTGTAATAACATTGAAATTTTGTTTCCAGCCGATATTTATTTACCAATATCTATTCGATATTGGTGAAATATTGACGATCACAATGTCAATTTCCATGATTGGGCTAATATTGTATTTCCAATATTGAATCAATCATGGAAAAAAATATTGCATCAATATCAGATTTATGATGGTTGGTGAATATTGCTCTTCGTTGTCCAGCAATATTGCACTGATATTGGTGATTCAATATCATTTCGATATTCAATAATCAATCCAGTGCCAATGTTGTAATAACATTGAAATTTTGTGACCAGCCGATATCAGTTTGCCAATATTTATTTGATATTGGCGAAATATTAACGAATACAATATGTCAATTTTCATGATGGGCTGATATTGTATTCCCAATATCGAATCAATCTTGGAAAACATATTGTATCAATATTTTGTATTTGTATTCAGCCAATATTAGTTCATCAATATGCGACCCATTTCAGATAGATATAACTAATGAAATATGCCAGAACCAATATTGCACTGACATTGGATTTCTAATATCGAATCGATATTCGTGATATTTCTCTTAGTATTTGAGCTACGTTATAACAGCTGGCGCCACTAGCACGCCTCCAACAAACGACTGCTGAGAGACATCAAATACCGCATTCGTTCAACTTGCAAACTAAGTATTCTGGGATACAGGATACGAAAATGGATTTGATATTGTACAAATATCGCAATTTTTTAATGAGGCTAATATGGCTTCGAATTTTGATTTCGAGTTTTGTGTGGTTTTGTTGAAAAACGAAATTCAATATTGGTTGAATATTATAATTCAACATGAAGATTATATTGCAAAATAATCACATCCTCATTTTAGCCAATATAGTAGGGGAATATGAATTCAATATCGATTTCACATATGAAAATCATAAGAAACCAGTTTTCTATAAGTTGGCATCATATATTTGTCCAATCTTGTATACGAATATCAACTCGATATTGGATAGAGCATATCGAAACAAGATTGAAATTCAACATAGCACCAAGATTCCAGAATGTTCACATTGATTTATTGACCCAATAATTAAAATTAATATTTTTCCAACATTCACATTTATTGACTCAATATTGAACCAATATTAGTGTTCTACCTGGGTGGAAAGTCGATATGAAGAAGGAAATGACTTCTTCGGAGGAAAATTCAACTTGGTCGTTAGTTGAATTACCAAAAAGTCGAAAAATCATTTCGAATCGTTGGGTATTTGGAATCAGACGTAAAGCTGATGGCAATATATATGTAGATCGAAATAAGGCTCGGTTAGCTGTGAGAGGTTTCAGTCAACGAGATGGAAACGACTAAAATGAAACTTTCAGTCCTGTTGCAAGATGAATATAGCAGTGAATGAACATCACGAGATTGCACAATTTGATGTTGACACGGCATTCCTGTATGGTATCATCGATGAACACATCTACATGGATCGACCTGATGGTTTTGAAGATGGAATTCATTTAGTTCGCAAGCTTAGAAGAAGTTTATACAGGCTGAAGCAATCGCCCAAGTTCTGGAATAAAATATTCACTATTGTTCTTCTCGATTCTGGATCAACTGAGAGGGCAGCAGATCTATGTTTGTATTATCAACTTTCAAACAACGAAAAATTCATTTCAATGTTGTATTTGTTGGCGATGGATTAATTGTACGAATGAAACATGTATTGATAATTTTTTCAATCGATTGAGAGCAGAATTCAAGATTACTATCGAGCCAATTGGATTCTACTTGAACATCTTGACCAGAAAAGTAGAAGATGGTTCTCTTCTCGTCAGTCACCAGATATGCTGAAAACATCTTGGAGAGATTTAATAAGGGAAATATTTCCCCTACATTAACTCCTTTTGAGAAATGTCAATTGACACAAATCAGTGATGTCAAAATGAAAACTGCACCATATAGAGAAATTATACACTGGGTTATGGTGAAAAGCATCATGAAACACATCGAAGGAACTTCTGCTTTGGGTATTCGTTATGATCATCCTGCTGAAAAAGTTGGTGAGTTTCAGGCTCATAGTGATGCAGATTATGCAAGTGATTCTACTACAAGGCGATCTACGAGTGAAATTGATTTCGAGTATAGCAGATGACCAATTATTTAGGCAAGTAGACGGCAACAAAGTGTATCACTGTCGATATTGGAAGCCAAATATTTTGCGGCATTTGAAGCTGCAAAAACTGCTGCTCGGCTGATTCGTTTATTCACTGAAATTGCTCCATTGAAAAATGTGCCTTTACTTTTTGTGGATGATGCAAGTGCTATCAAACCAACGAAGAACCCAGACTTCCACAAACGCTCAAAACACATCGACGTGAGGTTCCATTTTGGGCGTGAGAAGATTCAAGAAGGGTCATCGAAGATTGAGCACATTTCTGGAAACAAGAAAATAGCAGACATTTTGACAAAACCACTACCATGTGTGCAATTCGAACGTTTGTGCGATATGTTGGGAATGGTTTGAGGAACATTGCATATGATATAGAAGAAACAATAAGTCATTGAACGGTCACGTCTGTGTTTATTATTTCCGAAATTATTAAACCATAAACTTTTAATCAGTAGTTGAACATAAACACAGACATGGCATTTACTTCAACGAACCAGGAATATCAACCTAACTTCCTCACTGTCACGTTTCCAAAATATTGATTGAACATATAAAAGGCGCGAGGAAGCCAGCACAGGTATCATTCAATTATACAATTATTCGATCATTTGATTCAAGATTCTCTAATGGATGTAGAACACAACTTAGGCAACCCCTGCCTACAGTTTTTGACAATATTCAGGAGGAGTGTTGAAGAAGAACATTCAAATGTATCAGATCACCTCCTATATCCTTGTATCCACTGATGTTATTGTTTGATGAATAATATATGCCAATGTGTGTCAACGTTTCCTTTTAATGAAAGATTCTTAATCATATTCATCAGTGTTAGCACCTATATTACATCAACAATACCTCTACTACATTTCGAACCAGAATTAATTCTTTTCCATTCTTATATATCTATTATCTATAACCTATAACTCGTATGGAAATGCAATCTGAATGTTAAATGGCAGAACTGTTACTTGGTGAGTACAGCTATTATTATCAACTTATCGATTTCCCAATTAAGTATGTATACCATGTCTATACCTTTTCCCATTATTATAAGGAGACTATCATATCGATGAATTTATACTAATGATATAATCTACTAATGCTAAAAGACATCTTGAAATTTGTTGAAATGACCATCAATAAGAACATATTTTCTGATGATTGTTGTAGGAATCATTTTCTCATTTCAGTTATAGTGGTTTATCAGGTGGTAGAAAGGCAACAGCAAATGTCATAAATTACTGGTTGAGAATTGCCAAAAAAAGTGCTGGGAGGAATATGGAACACACAGATTAATTTATATCATTCCATGTGATTTATACTCATTTCAATTCAGTTTTTTATTTATTTATTTATTTATTTATTTGAATGACTTTTCCGTTGTGAATTGTATTTTTGATTTCGATTTCATATTCTTTTATCATATTATATAGGTACCTACTTAGGTTTTCAATGCCGCAACATTTTATTTCCACCTATAAATCATGTACCTACTGAACTATTCATTCTATAGATATTCACTATGAACATCCATAAGATGTCCATATAATCTTTTGGACGTTCATCGTATATCTTCCGTAGTTTGTCGGATACCCTCAAGCTATAACATATAGGATATACCATATCTTGTGCTTATCCATATAATAGTCCTATATTATTTATGAGGAATAATATGAGGTTAACTTCTCACGGACACCTTTGTTAATATCAATATATTTCAATACATACCACATTTCTGTCATTTACTCCCGGATGTCTTAATTTCACTTCAATTGTTGTGTCACTTGCACTCCCATCTTTGTGAATCAATTGTCGCTGAAAATTGTGAATTGATATTACAGAGTTGGGCATATGTGTGGAAATGCCTAATTCCTGACTAAACCATTAACCACTGAGAATAGCAGTCCGAAAAACAAATTCACCAACAGGGTGATCCAATAATGAAACTGCTGCCTGCGTCAAATTGAGGACAATATCATAGATACCAAAAATCAATATTGGCCACTAAGTAGAACAGACAAAATTATAGGGGGTCTAGAAAAATAAAATTCTGGTTTAGTCAGAGATAAGGTGTTTCCACACATTTGCCAAAACCTGCATATAGCATATAATTTGATTCAGAGGCAAGTATCATACATTGGAGTGTCGATTGCCTAAACATTTTTTAAATATTCATTTAGATAGAAAAATTGCGAACTTATAATTGAAAAGTAAGACAATCAAGTGAATCTTGAAGATTTATATATTTATCCAATATCTGGGGCGCATATTAGAGAGAATCTCATACAATGAATAATAAAAGTAAAATAATAAGAATAGTGAAACAACCACTGATTTTGTAAAAAAAATTCTCAGAATGGTGCGTCCTATAAAAATTTCACCAGTATATCTTTTTTGTGGCAATCAGAAAATAATCATAATCATAGAACCACTCTGTAAAAAGATTTATGTTATATCTACTATATTCTGGTAGAAAAATATTCTCAGGGAAATATTAATTTGGACTTTGTTAGAGATTTAGCTTTGTCTACAAGCCCTCCAATATGTATTGTACTTGCTACTGAATCACCTTGTACGATAGCAGGTTATAGCAATTATCGAATAACAAGTAGATCTAGGTAACATTTATTTGTAGCTATACTGAGGTAATCTGTTGGATTTCTCACCATTTTCATATAACCAAATGCATGACCATTGGGGTTATGGAAGGAAGCAATAGCCCTCAACTCTCTTGCTTCTGAAGGACTGTACCCTCTTTCAATTGTTGAACATGCAACTCTTCTGGAATTCTAGAAATACGCTACTTTCAAATGTTGGTATGACGAAAAAGGGATACATCTATAACTATCAACTTCGATCATTATTTCCAAGAGCATAATTTATTCATGACAGTATAAGTTAACAAACACATGTAGCAACTACGATAGTGATGGTTCATTAATCATTTTCCATTGTCTCTTTTTTCCATAAGAGAGCGTGTTACAATAATTATAGTTCGAAGGAAGAAAGATCAACTGGGATGGTACCAACCTAAGTCGACCAAAAGCGATGTTTCGTTTATTTTGAAAGATAAAAAGTTGAAGTAAAACTATTTGAATATAGTATCACCTTTAACCTTCATTTTTCACTCTGCATTCTCTTTCATCCATTCGATTCATTCATTGTGAGGAGATTGAATCTATTTCGATATCAACCCTATTTTACAATTTTTTTGTGAAAGAAACAAATACTTCCTCTTATAAAAATATTTGCGTATTTTATGCAATGACAAAAAATAGTAACATTATTTCCATCAAGATGAATTTATTGTCAAAAGAAAGCATAAACATTGGATTTTCATTTATGGAAAAGAGTATTGGATAAATGGGCATCATTCATGTTTTCCCATTCGCATAATCTGGGACTACAGTTTTCGACACTTTCTGATCAGCATTGCACGAGGAATAAAGTTGATTTCATTTGTTATTTTTTGCATGCAATGCTCCCAAATGTTGTGGCGGAGGGGTGTCACTTTATACTCGAGGTATTCCCATGAGAAAAATGATCTACTGGTATCAAATTGGGACTTCTTGGTGGCCAGTTAATGTTTCTTCTTCGACTGATTACCCTTTCTGGGTAGTTTTCGTAAGAATCGTTGTTTTTATGAAACGCACAAACTCAAAAAGTATGTTGCGGTCCCGTGAAATGCTCCACTGCAACTGAAACTTGACAGTGTTGCCAGTTGATTGCCAACGACCTCATATTTCGGAACATGCGTATTGCGCCAGAGTAAACGAGAATATTTCTGAGACATCCAATTGGAATGTCACCTTGATGATATAAATGTAATAATATAAATTTGAAAATTGAAAATTCCTGAGTTTCCGAGAAACCGGAGGTGTGGTATAAGTTACTGGTACTTGAACAACCAAAATCTGAATATTCAAGATTCTACATCCAAAAATGGAATCAAAGTAGTGTAGGTACCATTATTTTGAGTCACTCATCAGCGGTAGTCAATTCACTCATGAATGTCAATGGGGATACTCAACAGTAGGTACGTTTTATGCTTATACTCAATTTTCTTCATGATTATTGATGAATAGTAGATAGTTGATATTTGTAAATGGAGATCGAATTTTATTGAAACTAATCAAGAGGTTCGATTTGAAAAAAAAATAGTCGGGTTTATCTTGAGAGTTGGAAGAGGAAGAAAGCTTCAAAAGGTGCAAGATGAGGAAGATTTGTTATCATTCGAAATGATTTCTGGTTGATCTTTTTATCTCTTCAAATAACCAAGATATTCTTTTTCAAGAATTTTCTTGGATAGCCTGTATATCATAATGATGCTGTGGTATAGGTACAGGATCCCAATGAATCAATAGGGAGAGTATTGTTATTTCCTATATACGGTGAGAGATAGAAAGTTGATTAGATTAGATTAGACGAATGTTGCGTAATTTGAATCTCTTTAATATGATGTTTTGCAATTTAGAAAAATGTCGGCCGTTCCTGAAATATTTTGAAAGAACTGAAAATCACCGATTTCGTTTTTATTCATTTCTTGGTTAATATTAGAGGAAAAATATTGAATGTTTCTGTAAGCAGGTAATTATAAATGATGACAAAGATTTTTTTCTCTCTTCGAGCGCATGAAAGGAAATTCCTATAATGTTCGTGGAACATCGCACGTACCTACTTCTTTATAGCTATGTATAACACGCTACAACACTGCATTATTATGCAAAAAGGAGAAGAAAGCACAGAAATACCAACGATACAAATTTTTCGTTAAATAATTAAGATACGTTTTACTAAAATAAACATGATTTCCACATTCCTAAAATGAATTCTAATATCAAATCAAATGTCTGAGAATGAGTGAATTTATTAACAAATCATTCATAAAATATTGAGAACGATTATCGAATCAAATATTGAGTATTGAATATTGGAACATTGAATTTTATCATGAAAATATAACTGGAATAGAACTCGTGTCGCGACCAAGTCTTACACTAAATGGAAACCTTCAATAGTAGTTAAATGTGATTGTATTTTTGGTTCTCCTGTGCCTTTCCTGGTGATGTACCGTATTATTCATGGCTATTAAGAAGTATCGATATTGTGTAGACATGACGAATGATATATATTTTTCTATTTTCATGGCCTACTATATATTTTAGGACTATTTTATGTGAAAATGTCAACATTTCATACATGGCTGTGAAAAGAATTTTTAGCTCTATTCAGTGGTATGAAAAACGAATAAAGCGCCCATGAGAAGGAAAAAAGTTACAGTGTAAATTTCTGAGAGTACTGAAGATGAAATATTTTTGAAAATCTCAACTTCTTCGCCATGATTAATTACTGACTTACACAAACTTTCAATATGTATTCTCCAATATCATACAAGGAAATAAATAGAAACGAACTCATTGATTCAAAGTTTTTTCGAAATATTTTAGGAACGGCTGACACATTTCGAAATTGCAAATCGTTTGTCTGATTTAACGATCTCTCACAGTTTAGGAAATAGTAATATAGTCGGCGACCTTTCACTTTTCTAACGATACTTCCACGGGAAATGTTCTTCGGAAATCTCTGCTATCATCCCTTCACTAGCAATACCAATCAGACGAACTAGACAAGCCCAGTCAGCACATCATTTCGTTGTCAACCTCGAAAGATGTCGAACAGCACTTTATCAAGACTCCTTCATCCATAGAACGGCTAGGCTCTGGAATTCATTGCCTGTGGAAGTATTCCCAACAAAATATAATCTCCAAAAGTTCAAAAAAAATTCCAATACCTACCTCCTGTCCCTATCCTGCCTAGGAACGCACGATGTTCTTTGAACATTATGGGGATTCCCTTTCGTGCGCTCCAAGCGATAAAAAAAATGAAAAATTTGGCGCTGTATATACTACAGCAGCGCGCGTATACTTGAGCAATGAATATATATATAAAAAAAACAATGAGATGTTTCAATACAAATGCTTCATCCGATTTTTGCAACGCGTACTTATCCAACTGATTTTTATTTTCGCATTCACCGATATGGGGCGGATTTATGCACAACGCTTCTTCATTAATCTGTAATTTCACAATCATTAACGAATTCACTAATAAGTTGAAACTTGATATTCCCGTTCATTCATTTATGCGCCTAAATTGAATTTTATCTATCTAACTAATCGCTAAAAGATGACCAACTTTTATCTCTTAACGACAAATACAAATAAAACTGTGACTTGCTCAGGCGCGATTGTGCCAGAAGTCAGACAAACAATTCTTTCCTCTTCATTACCCAAAATGTGGTTGGAAATTCTGAAAATACTAGTCGTATGTTCAAATTAGACTTTGAGAGCAATATGATGATTCTTATTGTAATTATGTGATCACTGAATGTTATAACAAAAATATTTTCATCGGGCTAAGTACGCTGTGGACTATGTTTTGATCAAGAAGAAGAGTTTGAGAGTAAAGGTAGGTAGTGCATAGAGGTATCATAGTCCTTGAATAAAATTAGAAATAATGGTTTTTAATGAAAGAAACATACTAGTGAAAAAGCGGTGTGTATAATCCACCTATATACTTTTGACCATTTTACCTTCTTATGTATCACAATAGATCTGGCTAATATACTCCTCGGACCAAATAGCGTGAGCAGACTATCATTATAAAATGTCTTGTATACAGTTTGATTTTCTAGGGTACCAAATTTTCCACTCAAGTCCCCTACTTCGTACTGATCGGGCGTGCCATGGTATGCTCTCGGGGATGAAGCCGGATCAACATTCAGTGGATTCCAGAGACCATACAGCGAAGTTTCTTCGCAGGGAAATTGGAGACTCTCCTCTACCGGCGTCTAGATAATGAATTAGATTAGGTTGGGCATGATAGGGAATAAATAGCCACCGTCACCAAAAAAACTCGATATGTTTTTCACCGGAGTGTTACAGAGAACATATTAATACGCATATCTTTATTTTATAGAAACGAGGAGAGAAAATCCCAAAAAATCAGTAAAATGAATGTGCCACCTCCTCGATTAACCTACAGACAGTATTAATTTTCGATTGTTTTTCAATGTATTCTTTAATATCAGTTCGAAAGTTGCAGTTGCTAACAAAAATATTCATGTTTGTGAGCCTCGGTGAAATATTCGAAACATTTGATGCACTAGAGATCCAATATCATTCGAATAATCGAACGTTCATATGGAAAAATGTCAAACAGGGCCAGCTACTTGATTGTTTTGCTATATGGTGTTTTTTTCCTGAACCAATCTATACTGACAATTCTCAACATAATAAGTGCACCACCATGATATTTTATCGACTTCGCCAGAACAGCTTCAACAGTGGGGTTGTACTCAGTAGTATTTGATACATAATCATTCATTATGTAAATTCATCACCAATATATTTTCAATAATCGAAATAATCACCTCTCAAAAACGCTATATCTTGCTGACGTGATATACCGATAAACACAATAGTGACTTGTTCAACAACACTCCACAGAGATATGAATTCACTTCCACAGTAGCAGTGTACTGAAATATACACAATACATAAGTTATATCGCTTCAACTGCAATGGACTGATCGCGGTATATGTCGTCACGCAATGCCCCGTGTTTCTCATGTTATGAAATATTGTGAATTTCAATAATCATTTGAAGAATGTACAGAGCTCTGAGGAGAAAACAGTTCACGACAGTAAACCAGTCTGAGTTAGTATCTCAAAATAATGATATAAAATCCTTCACTGAAACAGACCCATTAGAGAAAATCAGCAGAATGAAATATTTGCGATTTTGCCTGACCTCATAAAATTGTTTTTTGATAGACATATAATAACATTACAATACATTGGACTTTCTCTTGAAACTTGTTTGGAATATCTCTCCAAGCCACCATTGGATGAATGAAAAATTTTGAATTTGCGTTGCATTTGTTGACATACAGGAGTTCATTTGAAATTCAGGAGTGACTGGTTGCGGTTTTTATTATGTTAAATTTATAAACATGCATTAGCATGGAGAAACACCTATTTTTCATTTCATTCTTGGATTCTGCATAACAGTTATTGAAAAATTCACGATTGATTATTCCGGGGAGACGACGAGTTTGAGAAATCCTGATGGAAAATTAACTTGGTTTATTGTTCGACAGACAGCAAATTGTTTTCTTTCAAAATTCACGTAGATGTAAGGCCTACTTGTCATACATTCCAGCAATGCCCAATTCCTGCGATGCCCAACTCCCACCATGCTCACCTCCCTTGTATTCCCATCATGTCCACTTTTCATACATTTTCACGATGCCCAATTCCTAATTTGTCCAATTCCCACCATGCCCACTTTCCTTGGATTCTCACCGTGCCCATTCTTCATACTTTCCCACGATGCCATATGGAGGAAATTGGACATCGTAGGAATTTGGCATCGTGGGAATATATGAAAAGTGGGCATGGTGAGAATCCCAGAAAGGTGGGAATGGTGGAAATTGGGCATTGTAGGAATTGGACATTTTCGGAATCTATAAATAGTGGCCATGGTGGAAGTCTTGTGTTTTCTGAATATTTCTTCTAACCTGGCAACGTTGCGCTCTTCGGCAATCTTCGAATTCGTCGACATGAGGATGGGCATCGTAGGAATTGGGCATCATGGGATATGGGCATCGTGGAAGTTGGGCATCGCGCCAGAGGCAGAATTATTGGCGAGGAATACATCAATTCGTGTGTGTTTCCTGAGCGGTGGTATCGTATGATATCGACAGCTTCGGCTTGTCGCCAAGCTCTCCGTCCGTTTTGTTGTAGTATTGAAACCAAGCAGTGTAGTGTCGAAATCGCCGATGATGATGATTATTTCTCTAGATGCCAGAACTTGATTTGCCCTTAAAAGGTAAAGATTAGCTAGATAGCTACCCTTGAGGAATCTGGCTGGTATTTCTGGCTTTCGAGCCTGAACAACACATCATATTCATTTACTTCTGAAGTTCTTATTCCCGATTGCCAGAAAGGTTTGACTCAGAGTATAGGCATAGATTTCATTTTGTCTTGAAACGTGTGAGAGATTCGTACCTAGGACGGAGCATATTGATCGTGTTGGTGGATGAATTGACTAGTTAGACTTAGTGTTTTCCACTCCGCTGAAATTGTTCATTCAGTGTATATCTATCATTTCCAATCACATGTAACAATCAATGACCCAATGACTGCGTTTGTGACATAGTTGGTGTCTACATGATGCGATATTTGTTGACAATTCCTATTTTCGATTATTGGAAGAATATGGCTTGATTTTCCTGTAGCTCCCAGATGGATGACATTATTCCAGGAATATTTGTGGAACGTGCATATAAAGATATAATCTGCAATATAGTTACTTACCAAATGAATATTATAATCAGTGACACCAAACAAGCCATCTAATCCCACTTCAACATTCGTGATATCGTACTCGGTTTGTTGTAGAAATTCTATTTTTCCTTTCACATCCAAATCAACGCCATTTGGGAACCAATCCCTAGCAACAGCTTTTCTTCGATAGACTCCTCCAATTCTGGAATGAATGAATATTATGTTACTCTCAAATTCGTAAAATTGCAATCGCAAATAAACTTTAACATATCTATGCGACAAAGAATAGGTAAATATTATTCAATCTCACTAATAATATCGATATACCAGTATGGATTTCACGTATTGAATAATATTATTTTTGACGTTCTTTCTAGGATATTTGTGCGAAATCATCGGACGACAATCCAAATTTTAAATGACGCATTCCTTCAACTCAATTCGAAATATTTCTTCATGATGATTTTGCGTCAAGATATTGGCAAAGAATAAACTTTGCAGCAATTTTCCTTTTACATTTTTCATCATGGTGGCTGTGACAGCCTTGAGGATGATACAATCACTTTGAGAATCGCTCTCGAACTACGTTCCTGTTGTATTGAAGTATGTTCATTCCTTCATGAAATTCATACGGATGAGTTGGTAGAGTCGAAGATTGAATTGATTGACGTACCTATATAATTTGGACCCTTAATGATTTTTGTGAAAACAATTTTGCACTTTGCAAATGAAGTTACAGAAAAGCTCATCATTATAGAGCCTGTTTCAACACTACATTTAACATACAAGGTATTCAATTTCACACTGATCCACCTCATTACGTCTTATGTACAGTGCTCTTGTAAAGTTCGAAATAAATTCATTTTCAGCCACTCTATCCATTTCTGAGGAAACTGCTGAAATAGGTCGATTTTTATCTCTAATTTCACAAACTTATGATGGGAAATTGAATATACAGGGTGATCTACGTTTGAGTCAGGACGTCCGCGACAGTTTTCTTATATGGAACACCCTTTATATTATCCAATTTCTGGAATCTCCATGCGAAGCCTAATTTTGATAGGCTGTATTGAATCACCAGCTATGTCTTGTTTGCTGGGTTACAAAAGCACTGAATAATACAACTAAGAGGACATGGTTGGAAACTTCGATAATTCCAATTATCCTACGAATAAAGTCACCATCTGATTTAAACTCAACTAATTGGATGATCATGATCGTGTTATATTCCGATTTTGAAAGCTTTAATCATCCCTCCAGAGGCAGCGCAACTTCCAAACGTAAGTCCGGTTGCACAAAGGTCTCTGTTAATTTTAAAGAGGAATCAACGCTTCCTACTCATCAGCTAAGGCATAAACTTGTCATGGATATAAAGAGATTGAATATTCAATCGTCTCTCAAATGCTATATGCAACCAACCCTTATTGAATCTTCTTGTTTTGATTGATTATGCGTAAATCGTATAGTAGAAGATCCGAACCTAAATCGACCTTCACCGAGCTGATAATAGAACGAAATATATTTTACCATGAATTTAGTATATTAGAAAACATATTAATAATGGGTTCGCTAAAAAAATCCTGGGCAGACTATTTTTAATTATTTTTCGAAAAATGATTTTTAATTAAATGTTGCAACATCAGGATAATAAAAAAATTTTGTCCTGACTGAAAGTATAAAACGTATAGAATGTGCAGCCGTTGGGTTGTCTACTATTTACCTGGGCGAACTACTGGGTTGTCAGGTAAACACAGGTATATCGATGCCAGTTACTTTCACCACCGAACATAAACAGAGACTTCACTGGATTGGATAATTAAAAAAAATCTATATCATCATAAGCGCTGTTTAATTGCGAACACGTTGATATAGGGTTGTCTGCGAAAATTCCGGTCCTATTAGGGGTTTGCGAATTTTAAAGATTTTAATTTCAACGTGCGTGGAAGTGTGTGACAGAGAGATCCGAGGTAAGTATACTGTGTAATAATAAAGGACCCAACATCGCAGTCGCTTGTGATGGGACCCTGAATAGTAGAAAGTGCGCATGCTCGGTGTGTGAACTATGGAGGGTAGAGGTACCTCTACTACCCTTCATATAGTAAACAGTGCTTGTTATTTTGGAGCAACTGATATTTCAGTAGCAAAAAAAAAATTAATTAATTACATAATAATTAAATATATTTGATATAATACTAATATATAAAAACAATATAATATCAATATATTGCGTTATAACCATAATAATATATCTATAATCTATAATAGACAATAAAAATATCAATTACTCACTTTGAAATTGTTTTGCTCTTTCTGGAAATAGAAACAAAGTGGACAGCCAAAAATTTAAATTAAGGAATAACAAAAAAGATAGACTAGACATCTTGTATTACGATTTAAAATTTTATTAAAAAACAGTATAAATACAAAAATAATATTAATGAAAAATAAATTCTAATAAATATTTTCTATTCAATATCTGATTCATCAGAAGTATCATTTTGACTCTCGAATTCGTCTGATTCATTAGATTCTTCCTCATTTGCTTCCATTTCGACAATGTCCTGGATTTTCAAAGGAGTTTGATCTCCGATAAAACCTGTTGGTTTTTAGAAATCATCAAAATGCCAACCATAGTTTTCAGGATTTGACTTCGCACACTTCGCACACTTTCTACTATTCAGGGTCCCATCACAAGCGATCGCGATGTTGGGTCCTTTATTATTACACAGTATACTTACCTCGGATCTCTCTGTCACACACTTCCACGCACGTTGAAATTAAAATCTTTAAAATTCGCAAACCCCTAATAGGACCGGAATTTTCGCAGACAACCCTATATCAACGTGTTCGCAATTAAACAGCGCTTATGATGATATAGATTTTTTTTAATTATCCAATCCAGTGAAGTCTCTGTTTATGTTCGGTGGTGAAAGTAACTGGCATCGATATACCTGTGTTTACCTGACAACCCAGTAGTTCGCCCAGGTAAATAGTAGACAACCCAACGGCTGCACATTCTATACGTTTTATACTTTCAGTCAGGACAAATTTTTTTTATTATCTTGATGTTGCAACATTTAATTAAAAATCATTTTTCGAAAAATAATTAAAAATAGTCCGCCCAGGATTTTTTTAGCGAACCCATTTTTAATATGTTTTCTAATATACTAAATTCATGATAAAATATATTTCGTTCTATTATCAGCTCGGTGAAGGTCGATTTAGGTTCGGATCTTAGACTAGTACGGATGTTTTGAACAACGCCAAATAAGTAACAAAAATAACTCATATTTTTCCATATAACGCATTCGACATTCCTACCTAAACTCAAAAATGAATTGATGTGTTATATAAGTACTTACATAGAACATGCTAATCGCTCTCCCCTGGCTTCAGGACCATGGTCATCATATAAAACCAACGACTTTCCTAGAACACTATTGTGTCCAGTGAGTGGTAACAGTGGATCAGTCCACAATTTTCTGGAGATTTTGTCACTGTCAGCAATTTTTCCGGAAATGTCAAGGGTGCCTTGACGTTTAGAGATATCTCCTAACCTGCAGAGTCCGATACTTCCCATGTTACATTTTTCATTCGTTGTCTTGTTGTCGAAATCAACCTAAGATGATGAATGCAAATAATAGTTTCATGATAATATAAATGATTCTGATTTAAAAATGTGCCCTGTTGATGAATATATTGATAAAAACATTTTGTTCAAAAGTAGGTGACTCACAGATTTTAAATATTCACTGGCGAAGGAATGAAATAATGCATCACCATTTTATCATAAATTTGATTTATTATTTTTCCTGAACTCTGTAGTTGTGTTGTATTATAATAATTATTACTGTCCCAACGGCCACTACAATGTAACAATAATCCATAGAAACCCTGTATCAATTCGATACTAATGTGGTACACAGTATCGTGACCACTGCGAATGCCTTCATTAGTAAAATGAAAGATTTCCTTTGTTTATTCATTTTGGAAGGTGTGTCTTTCATTCAAAAACGATATGCTACGACTCTGACCAAATTGGGGAACAAATGTGTTGTATCCTTATACCCAAAACTGAAGTCCAGAACTCCAACATGTATGAGACGCATTTGAAATTAGTCTCAAAACGAACAAGGCTAATGGTCCTGATGGCATTCCACCCAATACTCTCGAGAAGTAGGTTTGCTCTAGAAGTGACACCAATTCTATTTACCATCTCGTACGAATCATGTTTCTCCATCTTGCTGGAAAATGGCTGAAGTCCAACCAATTCTCAAAGAAAAAAAACAAGAACCTGCCCAACAACAATTGGCCTATTGCCCTGTTATCATGTATTTATCAAATATCTGCTCAGAAATCATTTAAGATAGACAATATAGGTTTCGTCATCGATGATCAACTAGAGGTTTACTTGCCTGCGTCACCCGTATATGTATATGACAAGCTAATTTCATTATAAAAATATGGGGAATCTCTAGCTGTGGCGTTAGATTTATCGGTGACATTCGACCAAGAACTTCTTCACAAATTAGGTGCCATCATACGGGTTTCCACCTCATCAGCTATGCCATCTTCTTTCAAGTTTTTTTTCAGGCAGTTACCTTTATGTGTTGGTGGGCGGAGTAACGTCTGATACCATAGCCATTAACCCCGGCGCTTCATAAGGATCAATTTTGGCACCAATATTGTTTCTAATTTACATCAATAATCTGTTGGGAGTAACTAATTGCCTATCCACAGCTTTGCAGACGACTCCCCATACTGTTTTCGTTGACATAATTTCCATTTCTTTCCAGGAAACACTGAACCCACTACGAGGACAGTTCAACGAAAATCTTGAAGTTACAGCCTGGAGAGCCAACAACCTAGTTGAATTCAACATCAGCAATACTCGTTCTTGGGAAAATCATGTCAGATCCATTGCGAAAGCTGCTTCACAAAAACTAGGATTACTATTACGTTCAAAATTTACTTCACACCTCAACAGTTTCTCATATATAAGATTCAGCACTCGAACATACGCTGATGGTCTTAGTTCCGTCCAGACAAAAGTCATTCGCCTTGTTGGTGATGCCACACTCACTTTAATTATCTGACATAAATGAAACACCGTTGAAAAGCCAGCGACCTTCCACTTTTCTATAAGTACTTCCACGGGAGATGTTCTCCAGGGATCATTACATCTATCACTAGCAAACCACTCAGACGAACTCGACAAGCTCAGTAAGAACATCCTTTCATCGTCAACCTGTCGAAAATGTCTTTACCAAAACTCGTTTTTCTATAGAACAGAAAAGCTTTGGAATTATTTTCCTATGAGGAAGTTTTTCCATCAGAAACTCATGATCTCTAAGAGTTCAGAAAAACTCCAATACCTACCTCATCTTCTACACTAGGTACGCACGATGTTCTTCCATCATCATAGAGATTTCCTTTCGTGCACTCCAATAGAAATCTCTTACCTCGAGAGCTTAGGAATAAAGTGAAACAGGCACTACTACAAATGACCTATAACCTGCAAGAGCAGTATAATGACATTCTGTTAGGATTTTGATGTGATCATTATTTTTTTAATCATTCATATTATTCTTATCATCGGTATTGATAAGATTCATTTGATTTTATACCTTCAAGTTGTTTTATACATTCAACTCGTTCTGGTAGTAAAAAAATAAATGAGTTGTTTCGTTGATCATATAATAATTATTTTGAAAATATGCTTGTTCGCGCACCGAAATTTAGGTTAAGTTCAGATTTAGTTTCATATTCAACATTTATATTCATGAATCAATTGCATCGCTTGTATTAAAACAAGTTTCGCCATATATTCAGATATTCAGTAAATTCTAATAACGGCGCATTACTTATGTCGCCGAATTTACTACAAAACTGTCCAGAACAGAAAATCTCGGTCTCACCGCGAAGAGCGAAAAAGAAGAACGAGAAAACAATGCGATTCGATATTCGGTATTAGTACGATCGTGACCGCGCCGGACCGCAATTCTTCCAAATAATATAATTACTCAAAAAACCCCCAAAATACCTCGAAATAAGCGCGAGTGAGCTTCCTCTAGAGAAAAATATACAGTCCACTTTCCACCCTATGAACGGGTAATGAAGGCCGGCCTTAAGCAGAGGACCTGGAAATCGACAGGAATATACCAGGTGAGAATTTGATTATCCTTAACTGGACGGCTGACATTATACTTCGTTCAAACACAGACATTTTTGGTCCTTCGAGCCGGATCATTTGATCTGTATCGTTTGTGTCATCATCATTGATAGTATTAGATACATACTTGTTATACATATCATAGTGATTCACACAGGAATTAAAAAACTTGTTTTAATATAAGGTTTCATTCGCCGCTTATCGCAAAGTTTTTGCTCACATTTTTTGTGCGCACTCACTCGTAGATTGTTAGTGTATCGGAATTTAATCGATTTATTTACGTTCAACAAAAACCGGTGATTTTCATAATCCATTCAAATTAGAACACCTATCAAATAATAAGTGTAAAATTTCATAATCGTTTTATTCTCCTATTCGAAATATCTCACAAGCATATTGTTTTTCTACTCCAGGACAACAAACAAGGTTGAATTGTTTTTATCCTAAACCTGCTGGTTGCTTTATCAGACTTTTATCGATGCTAATACAGTCGTACTCAAAAGTAGTGCTCTTTATAAATTAATTTTTCGACATTGAAATATCATCAATAATTATTATATTTTGCTTCTTTCTTCATTGTTATCTCATTTAATATGGCTAATGTTGCAAAAATAAAACAATTGCGTGCAATTAGGGATACCGCAATCGATAGAATATCAGTTGTTCATGATATAGCTCAGCAAGCAAAAGTGGAACCGACAGAGCGTTCTTACTTTCGAATGAGATATCTCGAATTAGCAGAGATTTATAATGCATTCAATTCGCATCACAATGCCTTGATACAAATTCTTTCAACTTCAGAAAATAACGAGTTAGAGGCTGAAAAGCGTCTTAGACAAGTAGTCGATAAAAAATATAATAATGCAAAAACTGTACACTATGATCTATTCGAAAGTACTCCTCTACCGCAAGCAGAGACTGCCAGTAGTGCAGGTGTCAATGTCAGACTCCCAAAGCTTAATGTTCCTACTTTTAGTGGCAATTTAAAAAGTTGGCATACATTTATCGATCTCTATAACTCACTCATTCATGGTCAAACGAACCTGAGCAATGTTGAAAAATTTCAATACTTGCTGTCTTCACTTTCTGGTGAACCTCTAACAATTATCAAAAATCACAAATGATAATTACGAAATCGCCTATAATAGTTTAATTTCTAGATTCCAAAACAAACGGCTTCTTGCCACTTTCTACTGGGAAGAAATACTAAATACTCCGAGACTAACCTCAGATTCCTCTAAAAATCTCAGACATTTGTTGGATACTTTTTCTGATAATTTGAAAGCCCTTGATAATATGAATTTTCCAGTAAGTGAGTGGGATTTTATACTGGTGAATCTCATTAGTAAAAAACTGGATCCTGAGACCTTGAAAAGGTTTGAACTCCAATTTGGGTCCTCAGATATACCACAGTATCATGATTTATTCAAATTCCTCGAAAAACAATGCGTTGCTCTAGATTCTCTGGCACTAGCAAAATCATCGAAAAATAATGTTAATCCTCAAAATAAAATCAATTATAGCCCTCGAAAATTTAACTCATCTAGTTCTGCAGCTCTTTTAGCAAATTCTGATAATGCACCAACTAAATGTGCTTTATGTAAGTCGAATCACTCAATTTATAAATGCTCTATATTCTCTTCTAAATCTCCTCAGGAAAGATACAGGGTGGTCGAAGAAAATAAATGGTGTACTAACTGTTTGGGTACAAGTCACACCGTGAGCAGTTGTAGCTCTTCTTCTTTGTGTAGAACTTGCAGCGGTAACCACCATAGCTATTTACATTTTGGGAATTCAGGTCCTGCAAATGAGGTACCTGTACCTTCCCCTTCTACTTCCTCAAGTACTTCTCAAAGTTCCTCAAATCTGGCGGTTCATTCCGCGAATTCTACTATCCTCACCTCTTCTTATATCACAAACTCTGCTTTCACTGTCCTTCTCTCAACAGCTTTGATAGATGTTGAGGATGTACGTGGTAATCGTCAATCAGTTCGATGTCTCTTAGACAGTGCAAGCCAGGTTAACTTCATTACTGAAAAATGTGTTAATAGGTTAGGGCTACCCAGGTTGAAGCTTCCAATAGCTATAAATGGTATTGGACATATAGCTTCAGCTGCATCCTCCATGATCACGTGCAATTTCAAACCTCGAAATAAAGCTGAACCAGAATTCACTATCGAGGCTGCAATACTTCCTACTATCTGTTCAGATATGCCGAATGCAACTCTCTCAACTGACCAATGGTCATATCTCGCCAATCTCCACTTGGCGGACCCCCAATTCAATATTTCCGCCCCTATTGATATGCTCCTCGGAGCAGATATTTTCCCTAAGATCATCAAAAGCGGTAAACTGATAGGTAAAGACAGTAATGACCCATTTGCAATCGATACATCGTTTGGTTGGATTATCATGGGGAAAGTTAAGTGTACTCCTTCCACATCCCTAGGATCCTTTATATCTCTTTGCGATACATCATTAGATATTACCTTGAAAAAATTCTGGGAATTAGAGGAAGTACCTAAGAATTCAGTATTATCCCCCGAGAATAGTATATGCGAAAAAATCTTCACGACTACTCACTCCAGACTACCATCAGGTAGATTTGTGATATCTTTACCCTTCAGAGATCCCCAACCCTATTTTGGTGATACACGCGCTATAGCACTTAGGCGATTCTATACTCTAGAACGTCGATTGCAAAAAGATCCTCTTGTCTCTCAACAATATTCCGATTTTATGAGGGATTATTTATTATGTAATCATATGGAACTTGTAGAGAAACCAATCTCTTTCGAGAATATTCACTATATACCACATTTATGTGTAACAAACCCAAATAGCCAAACTACAAAGCTTCGAGTAGTCTTCGATGCTTCGTGTAAGTCTTCGCAAGGTTTTTCACTGAACGATACTTTGCTGGTTGGTGAAAAACTCCAGAGAGACTTGGTTAGTATTCTTCTCAATTTTCGTCTACATCAGTTCGTCTTTACATCAGATATTAAACAGATGTATCGACAGATATTGGTTCAAGAATCTCAGCAAGATTATCAGAGAATTCTGTAGAGGTTTTCGTCTCAGGAACCTGTGCAGGATTATCGATTGAAGACTTTGACGTATGGTTTATCTTCTGCCCCTTTCTTGGCCATTCGCACCCTATTGCAGTTGGCTGAGGATGAAAAACAATCTTTTCCTCTTGCCTCTGGGGTTCTACAAAATGACACTTATCTAGACGACTTAGCTACTGGATCTGATTCCTTGAAAAGCACGAAATCACTACAAACCGAAGTTATTTCTCTCTTGAATAAAGCTGGGTTCATTCTCAGAAGATGGTCTGCAAATCATCCTGCACTCTTGGAGGATTTCGCTCCAGCAGACTGTCAACAAGATATTTTCTCTTTCGATTCTCAAGATTCTGTAATAAAAATATAAGGTTTGAAGTGGTTTCCTTCGAAAGATCATTTTGGATACTCTATTTCTTTGCCTGGCAACCTTTGTACAAAACGAGGGATGTTATCAGATATAGCAAGGATATTTGACCCGATTGGGTTTTTATCTCCAATAACATTCATGGTTAAACATCTCATCCAGTATCTTTGGTGTATGGGATTAGACTGGGATGAAACTCCTCCCCCTGAAGTCATAGACAAGTGGTCTAAATATAAATCAGAACTATCTTTTATTTCCAAAATACAAATTCCTCGTCATCTAACCCCATTTATTTATAATTCATGCGAGCTGCACGGATTTGCAGACAGCTCAGAAAAAGGATACGCAGCTGTTGTATTTATTCGCTTTATTCTCCCTCATAATAAGTTTGAAGTTCGATTGGTGTGTGGTAAATCTAGAGTTGCCCCGTTGAAAAAGATCAGCCTGCCCAAGTTAGAGCTCTGCGCAGCTGTTCTTCTCTCGAAGCTGATGAGCTTCATTATTCAATCATACTCTAATAAAATAACTTTTTCCCATTTATATGCGTGGAGTGATTCAATGATCACTTTGTGCTGGATCAAAGCTCCAGCCTATCGTTGGAACACTTTCATAGCCAACAGGGTGAGTCAGATCCATGAGAGGGTCCCCCCTTCATGCTGGTATCATGTCGGTTCTCAGGATAATCCAGCCGATTGTGCTTCTAGGGGGTTACTACCCTCGCAGATGATCGGTCACTCTCTTTGGTTTCAGGGTCCAACTTGGCTCAGCCAGTCTAACGAATATTGGCCTAAAACTCCGATAACTACTCCTTTAGAAGCCTTAAATGAAGAAAAAGGTATATCTCTTATTACCCAAATATCTCTAGATTCTCTCGATGACTTGATAATCAGATTCTCTTCTTTAAATAAAATCAGGAGAGTTGTTGCTTGGTGTCTGTGATTCCTCAACAATCTTAGGGTTCAACCCCCTCTACGTAAAAAATGTCCTCTAACTGATTCGGAAGAACATAATGCATTATTACTTCTAGTGAAACGTGTTCAGCATGTTTCATTTTCTAACGAAATTTCTCGACTAGAAGAAAACCTCCCTCTTCCGAAAAATTTCCGGAAATTGAATCCTTTCCTTGGAAATGATGAAGTTTTGCGAGTAGGAGGTCGTCTTTATTTTTCAGGTCTTTCCTATGACCACAAACATCCTGCCATTCTACCAAACTCTCATGGATTAACCGATCTGATTATCGAAAAGTATCATATTGACTTTATGCATCCAGGCTTACGTACTTTACAATATATGTTAGCCCAAAACTTCTGGATTCTATCCCCTCGTCGTGCTATATCACGAATTCTCTCAAAATGCATCCGCTGTTATAAAATCAGGCCGACTCCCCTCGAGCCCCCCATGGGCAATTTGCCTCATTTCCGCATTAATCAACTGAAACCTTTTCAATAGTAGGGGTTGATTACGGTGGTCCATTCAATATCGCCATGTCGAAAGGTCGAGGTATCAAGTCACAGAAGGCTTATATTTGCCTATTCGTGTGTTTCACCACCAAAGCTGTGCATCTAGAACTTGCCTCTGACCTTTCAACAGATGCTTTTCTTGCTGCCCTCAGACGACTTATTAGTCGAAGAGGCCGTTGCACCCGTATCTTCAGCGATAATGGCGGAAACTTCGTCGGCGCCAGTCGCACCTTAGATGACCTCATGAAACATGCCTCAGAACATGAAAAAAATTGAATGGTCATTCAGTGCACCCAGTTCACCCCATTTCAATGGTCTGAGTGAAGCGGGCATCAAGTCAGTGAAGACTCACCTCTTGAAAGTGCTTGACAGTCACGTCCTCACCTATGAGGAATTTTACACGGTCCTAGTGCAGGTTGAGGCTATATTGAACTCTCGTCCCCTTTATGCAATGAGTAATGATCCTAATGACCTCAATGTCCTCACTCCCGGACATTTTCTCACCCTCGAACCTGTAGCATGTTTACCAGATTTTGACCTTACTACCCTGAACATAAACCGTCTCGATCGCTGGCAATTTTTGCAAAGGGTTCACCAGGATATATGGAAGCGATGGCATGCAGAATATCTGCATACTTTGCAACAAAGGTCCAAGTGGCTTCATGACTCCGAACCATTAAAAGTAGATGATTTAGCGCTCATTAAAATTGAATTGACACCTCCACTCCAATGGCGATTGGGAAGAATAACAAAACTACACCCTGGTGTAGATGGCATCACTAGAGTGGTGACATTGCGTACTGCGCAAGGTATCTTGCAGAGGCCCTGTGTCAAGCTTTGTCCCTTGCCATCAAATAACTCGTGAAAATACGGTGTATTTTGGCGGGCAGAATGTTCGCGCACCGAAATTTAGGTTAAGTTTAGATTTAGTTTCATATTCAACATTTATATTCATGAATCAATTGCATCGCTTATATTAAAACAAGTTTCGCCATATATTCAAATATTCATTAAATTCTAATAACGGCGCATTACTTATGTCGCCGAATTTACTACAAAACTGTCCAGAATAGGAAATCTCGGTCTCACCGCGAAGAGCGAAAAAGAAGAACGAGAAAACAATGCGATTCGATATTCGGTATTGGTACGATCGTGACCGCGCCGGACCGCAATTCTTCCAAATAATATAATTACTCAAAAAAACCCCAAAATACCTCAAAATAAGCGCGAGTGAGCTTCCTCTAGAGAAAAATATACAGTCCACTTTCCACCCTATGAACGGGTAATGAAGGCCGGCCTTAAGCAGAGGACCTGGAAATCGACAGGAATATACCAGGTGAGAATTTGATTATCCTTAACTGGACGGCTCACATTATACTTCGTTCAAACACAGACAATGCTATTCTAACATAGTTCATATGTCAACTACGAAATAGCCACAATGCTCAAAGTGGAATGAAATGTTCAATAAATACAAAAAGCTCAAAGTCATTTCCACACAATGTCCATAAAATGAACAACAATGGTAGATTTCTGGAGAAAAACAACTACTTTCCTGGTTGATGCCACGCACAACATTGAATTACATCCTCCCGAAATCTATGTATCGATTCGTATAAACGAATACTTATACAAGTGATCCTTTCCTGAATGCCTATTGATTTCGATCTAGCCAGGCCACGCTAGACACCTACAGACCGGTTTCGAGCTCTTTGACTCTCATCAGTGCAGCCAAACAAAAATCAAGTCGGCATTATATTCCCTCAGAGAATACAGTTAGTCGGCGGTCTGAGGATTGCTGGCTGGAGACTGCCCTGCACTGATGAGAATCAAAGAGCTCGAAACCGGTCTGTAGGTGTCTAGCGTGGCCTGGCTGAATCGAAATCAATAGGCATTCAGGAAAGAATCACTTGTATCAGTATCCGTTTATATGAGATGCATAGATTTCGGAAGTTTTTTTTTCTCCCGAAATCTACCATCGTTGTTTATTTTATGTTGTCATTGTGTGGAAATGATTTTGAGCTTTTTGTATTTATTTATAGTTCTTATGTGGTTTGATTTACATCATATATTTTGCATACTCCCATGTTATCTATTCACTGTACAAAAGAATATCTAATGTCCATAAATGTTATACCTATATCTATGCTTTGTCGTTCAACAATAAAGTATATATTTCGATTATTGATTTCTCTCGATAGTAACTATCCGATATCGAATTATAATAATATGAGGTTCTCAAATTTTCGTTTTGATTTTCTACTTTGCCGCACACCAAATAACCTTTCGTGCTCAGATTTTATATATTCCTCTCATAGGTCTTACTTTCATTATACGCGATTCAATTTAAGAATCGCTGTCTTGATTTCGTCTGAACAACTCTAGTTAAGTTGTCAATGAAAGCAATAATCTATCGAGAACAACCTCAAAAGTTTGAGGTTAGATCTGAGCTCTTGTGGTATTGTCACCGATGATATCGAAATGATGACATCAACTCACCTTATACGGATTGAAAACAGTACCCGAACTCAAACATCTTGCTGTCCAGTTATAAAAATCCTTGCCAGGAGGTAACTCGTTTATAGACCATCTGTGATCAGCAGAATTATTCAGAGCTGCTCCATCCGCATGGACGAGGTACTCTATCATCACGGTGGTGTCAGCCCAAGGTTCGTCTTTCGCCTGTCTCATGAGCATTCTTCCAACGGTTGGATAACGAAAAATAACTTGGGCAGTAAAAATTTGTTTCTGGTACTCGAAATTCGACTCGTACAAATTTATGCCTCCACAAATCCATGGCTCTGCGATGACTTCAGATGTAGGATACTGAGTGTTTCTGAAGAAAATGAAAAATGGAAGATTGAATGACAAACAATCATGTAGAATTTCTAGAAATTGAAAGGAAATATTGTCACGAGTAGAACATACGGTATATTAGTAATTTCCAACCAAGAGGGTTTTATGAACATAAAGTTAATCAAATTATCCGTTGACATTGAACTATGAAAACTGACCAAGGAACTCTCATGAGAAACGTGCGAATCTAATAAAATGATGTATATAAATATTGGATGTGAGGGTTCCGAAGTTAGTCTGGTCTGGGGCTACTCTTGACTTGACAAGAACTCGTCGTAATAGCCATTATAATGTAAGTTGTAATTAGGTCTTTATATTCATTGTTCTTTATTCATATTTGTCATCGCTACCCATAATGTTTCGTGCTTCAATAAATATGTTTGAATATAGTCTCGTACTTTCAGCTACCCCTGGAATATTAATGCCAATTCGAATATTACTTCTCGCAAGCCAAGCTAACCCTAAAAATCTATTCAATCGTGACAATATTCACCGACAGATAATATAAAAAAGTTCATGCGGTCCTAGACACATGACATCTGGTGAATTTTCAAAGGTTCTGCTACTTTTTAACCTATCAATAACTGCCCTCAATATTATGAGGGTGATTTAATCTTCCCAGAACAAATGAAGTGGGTGACATGTCTTCGAAATATATTGGAGATGAACTTACCTACTGCAATGGATTTGACATATGACATGAGATTTCATTCAAACCTTGAAGCCACGTGAATGGTTCAATAATAATTAATATAATAATGAAGCAAAACAACTACAACTTGAATGACCCCAAGTAGGTTTCGTTAGGGAGCTACTGGGCATTCAGGTGCATATCTTGAAAATTACATGTTAAAAGTCGTTATAATCCGTACAACGTCTTATATTTCATAAAAAAAATACTATGATTAAAAAAAATTTACTGGAAAAAAATGGTTTTTGGAATAAAATTATTTTGGACTCATACTCCTATTGCAGATCAATGAAAGACAAGAGCACGTTTCATTCATATTGAGCCCAATAATATTTTATTTTGAGGCCCGCAATCGTTAAAAGATTGGCATACCTATAGAAGAGTGTAAGGTTCCATCTATTTGGCGGTACACACTCTAGAATGAAAAACAGTGAGGACGTGAAAAGTCCTTCCTTCTTCAACTTTTGAACGGAACAAGCAAGCGAGATTAGGTAAAACTCGGGTGAAAAGGTACCTCTTTTACTACTTTCTGACATGAAAATGGTTGTGGTCACGTGGCCTAGTGTGAAGCAGAGGATACCACGTTTTTTTTCCAAATGTGAAGGGTGTTACGTGGTACCTGGTTTCGGAGGCCTTTTGATTTTTTATCCAACACTGATCAGGGCAGTAATCCTACCAATGACTCTCTCATGTTTCGCTTGCATGGGGGCAGATATGCAAAAAAACCGAAGGAGAAGATACAGGGGCAAGAAAACCTATTCCTCCGATGAGCACTCGGCGCACCCTAGTACGTTTCGAACAGAACCATCTTCAGAGACTTGTCGATTACTCCAGTCACAACGAAGATGATTGGAATTCTGAATTACGATCCCATATTTGTAAACAGATTCAAATGACCCAAACATCAACTGCTGAGCGACGACGAAGACGAGTTAGTAAAACTCATGCGATTGTTTCCTTCTCAGGTCTTTGCAGCAATAATCCCCCATAACATAGCGGTTATGGGAGACCAATTGCAAAACTTCAAAGTAGAGCACCCCTCCTAATGACATACCTACAACAACACCACCACCAAAACTATTCCATGTAAACAGACAGACGGACTACACAGCACTAAAAGCTCTCGAGTTGTGCTACCCACTAAGCCAGAAATTGCGCGATCGCAGGAGATCGTAACGTCTGGCTTACCCAAACACACACTACACACCAGACTTAGGTATGTTACCAAAAATACGAACGTTATGAGGTCTACTCCAGGAGGAGAAGGGGTTGGTTGGCAAGTTTCAAGGGACACTTATCCAGTAAAACGGATGGGTGTTTTTAGAAATGGAAACCTCATAGAGGAAGGTACCGGGGGACCCCTTCGTTTGTGCAAATCGACCAAGCCGTTTCAAACTGACAAGGGATTGAAGTTCACCTCGGAAACATCAAATTACGTTTGGAATCAATTCCAAAACAGATAATTTTTGTGTTAATAAGTGAGCGGTGAATATTTCGGGAATTTTCGAACACTTGTTGTTCGTAATTTAGTTGCAACTGGAAGTTATTTAGCTTTCACATTTATTTGTGACATGTAATAATAATAATAATAATATTTGAGGAAAATTTCAACAGCTTGTCAGTTTGAAACGGCTTGGCCGATTTGCACAGACGAAAAGGTGTTGGATAGAGAATCGAACGGCCTTCATAACCAGATACCACGTGACCCTCAATTTTTATATTTGATACTAGGCCACGTTCCAGAGCATATGTTTGTAGGAAGATACATCATTATTTCATCTAGTTCTATCAATTTATCGAGTTTCGATCATTGAAATTTTACCACTCTGTTTGTATATTGTTGTTTGCCATGGCGTTCAGTTCATGGTCTGCCATTCAGCACATTAACAATTAATATATGATCAATACGTACACCTAATTTCGAGATTTTATCTTTCACGTTGATTTTCCGATTTTTTCGCAAATTCGACGCGGTCTGTCGGCACTTCAGCCCCCGAAAAACGATCTGCCAACTGTCAAACTATTTTTCTGACGTCACGTACTAAATGTGGGTTCACGAATTTTCATGACTGTATTAATGACGTTGATTATATTTGGAATTATGCAACTTCTCCACTCGCCCTCACATAAGACCGACCAGGCAGACTCGCGCCATAATATTCCACATCATGAAAGGACCCATCCCAGAAGAGAATTGTGAATGTACAGGGTCCTGTTGAAACTCATGTAGACTATAATTTCGTGATACCCTGATTTATAATTGAAAATTAAGAAAATGAACAAAATATACCTACTGAAATCAAATGGAGGTACTTACTTATATAATCTGAGATAGTATACGTGAATGAAAGACAAAAAATTGCAGTTTAATCGCCATGGAGTTCTAAATGGCCAAGAAATAGCGAGAGGAAGCTCAAAAAACTCTCATTTAGCGTAAATAGGTATAGACAATAGAGAGAAATACATTCTGGTCGCTGAAAGTTTTGATCCTCGACCAAACATTATAGGTACCATGAATGAAAGGTTTCCAGTAATAGTTGATGAGTGAATTGTTAATTTTTCAAGGAGCACGAAAGAAGCTGTAGGCTCATCGCAGCAAATAGTCGATTCGAAGAAAATATCATTTCAACTGAAAAATCTCATAACACAATTTTGCCTGTCCATAATAGGTAGATAATTATGGTAAAGTGTAAACTTATTGTGGTAGCTAAATATAACATCAGAATGTTTGGCAGAACTATAGGAACTTATTGTTATCGTTATACCTACTTGTAAATAACCATCGATCGGTGAACAACAGCAAATCTCCCTTGTAATGGAAGGAATGTGTCCCAATACATTCCACTCAATTCTTGTCCACCAGTCACTAGAACGGTCTCGTTGTTTCTTCCTAATAATTTTCCAGAAATATCACCTACTGCATATTGATCTTGTGTTCCATATCCTGGAAGTAACGTATTCAAATTATTAGTAAATAAAGGTGAACGATGTACTAATCTGGGGAGAAAGCAATAGCAGATTTTATCAATTCAAAAATATACTTGATATTCATTCGAAATCGACAACCGTGCCTGAATCAAGGCCCAGTTTTGTCCAAATTGTAGTTGTAGCATTGGACGATGATAAAAAAAAACGCTTGGGTATGTTCACCTGTCTATACCTTGAAAACAGGATCAGAAAGCTAGTGGAACACTCAGGAAACGAAACGATTTTCATCTGTCCCATCATTTGAGGAATACAATCCGTGATAAGTAAATCATACAAGGTGTTCATAGTAGGTGTGACGATAGTACAGGCAGCTTGATTTTGTTCTTCTATTTAGCCGACGATTTTTGATACTAGGTTGCTCGACCAAAAATGAGAAGAAGTACGAATGAACATTGGTAGAAGAGTGATTCTCAAGAAAGGTATATACATCATCTTCAAAGCGTTTCCCTGTGAACGTTCTCATTGATAATATTTCCGAATGATGAAATTTTGTGTGCATATCCCACTGTCAAAGCGAATTTTTTTTGGTGATCATATTCTTTTATATCATGCATTCGCTTCTGCATGAATATTGACATGTAATTTCATGTTCGAATTAATTTTAGTCTAAAACTGAGCCACATCGATGTCAAACAAGTTTACTTTTCCAATGAAAAAATTTAGCAATTCGATTATAATTTCTTTAGTGAAATTGTGAAAATATTCACTCACAGATGAAACCTGAAATTGGGTACAATCCTGGATGAAAATCTCGAATTTTGTTCATATATTCTTGAATTCGGTATTTGAAGTGTGGTGAACTCACAACATTATATTTTTTTATCTAGGACCGTATCGAGAATAATGATGAAAAACAATCCTCAGAGGAGCCTCTTCGACAGGCTGGGAAAACACTTTTCCACCCATGTTCATTCGAACTTTCTTCTCAATATCTTGAAATTCTGAGAATTACAGAATCTGAAGAATTCAAAATGACAAACCTGGCCTATCACAAAAGTAAATAGACTAGGAGAGCATCGCCTCATTTCGACCACTTTTCCCATGTAAATCTCCATAAGAAAAGTTAAGGTCAAAAATACCGAAAATGGTCGTCAGCCTCGAAGTCGGCGAGCGGTCTATCCAAAAGTCGAGCATCAATCAACCGCAAAGTGAGGTACAATAACAAGATGAAGGCGAATAAAAAATCCTGAGTCAAATGAAAACAGGGTGAGTCGAAAAACCTTTATCATACAGACTGGAGAAAAAATTCTGAAACCAACCCATGAGTTCAAATAGAATCTTACCATTTCGAGTCCATCTAGACCATGTGATCAGCCCAAAAAAAATCGCTCTCAGTTCAGAAGATGACAAGAGGTATATAGTACCAGGATCCTGCGAAACTCTTCCATGGGGCCACTATAGTATTGTTACGTTATTCGGGTGCAGAAGCGAACACGACACTATTTATTTTCGAACTGATTTATTTTAACTAAAGAAACACTAATTTATATCGTACTTATAACTACTATTTATGTAAAACGATTTATAACACACGGTATATAACTGTCTCTCTGACACTCGCTATTTGACTGCTCGACTCAGTTGTTCGGCCGTCTTATATATGAGAACACATGGCAGGCTTTGGTCGAGAACGTTCTCGAATGATCTTCCGTCTCCTTCTTTTTGTTCTAGAAGCTTCTTAGAACATAACCTCTCTCTCTGTTCCATCGATTGTTTCCAGAACATTCCAGCATCTTCTGTGACGTTATTTGTCACTGCGGCATATATTGAGTGTTCGAAAATATGCTGGTGTATGTAGGAATCATTGAGAGGTTGAAGAGCAATCGGAGATGCGTGATACAGGATGATCGTTGTACTTCTGCCTTCCTGCTGATGTTTCTAAAGCCCCTCCAAGGGGAATATCATTACACGGCCCCCTCCTTAAAACGCATTCCTCCTGGAATGCACTCCGATCGTTATGAAGATAGGGACAACTGGTTTAATTTTTTCAACGTGCAGTATGGTAGAAATAGCATGGCACTGTCTTCTCTCTTGGAATTCCCTTGGAGTTCCAGCAGCATACCAGAATTTCAACCCCGGTGAATCTAAATACAACCTCCAGCATGTTCCTTACAACTCTCCAATTCAAGCCATCCAGTCCACACCCCAGCTTTGGAACAGCTATCTTCTGTATGTCCTTCTCGAGTATGGTGCTTCGCAAGTCGACTAGCGTCTCCCAGAGGTCCTTGTAAGTGGGTTTCTCAGAAGATCTTGCTTTCGTTATAAGATAAAACACAGACCTTTTTCCTTCAGCGCTGATATCTTCTATTTCTAGTGCTCGACCGACGGAGGGACCTTGTTGACGAAGCTCCTCTAACTTCCCAAACTTCCTCATGAACTTGTTCGCTATTCCTTGAGACATCTGAAGATCCTCGGCGACGCAGTGAGCTAGTGCGTATTCTACAGAAATGGCAAAAAGGTCGCGGTGCTCTTCCTTGGTGACGCCAAACCTTGCTTTTGATGAACCACTGTATGTCCCAATGAATTCGTCGAATGTAAGCTCCTTTTCTTCCGGACAAATTTGTTGAACTTGTTGATCTTGTGTTCCCTCGAATGGTGCTAGTCTGTTGAAATGAACGACTCTTGGTTTGCCACTTGGTTCTTTACTGATGCGGTAGATGACATCGTTGATCTTCTTCTTGACGGTATAAGGTCCTTCCCAAGATCTCTGTAGTTCTGGACAAATACCTCGTTTCCTTTGTGGATTGTACAACCACACCAGGTCTCCTTCTGCGTATCCTGCACCCCCAGCTCTGATGTCGTATCGGTCTTTCATGCGATCGCTGGCGATTTTCAGATTAGAACGAACCAATTCGTGAATATCGTTCATCTTTTTCATCAGATTCGTAACGTAATCTTCCCCCACTATGTCTTCACCAGGTCTACATCCGAAGACCAAGTCACATGGAAGCCTCATCTCTCGTCCAAATAGAACCTTCGCCGGAGTCTGTCCTGTAGATTCCTGTACTGCAGATCTGTAGGCCATCAAGAAGAAAGGAAGATGTTGATCCCAGTCTTGTTGGTGTTGATCTACGACTTTGCAGAGATACCTTTCTATGGTTCTGTTCATTCGCTCCACCATGCCATCTGACTGTGGATGCAATGGAGTTGTTCTTGTCTTCTTGATTCCTAACTTCTCGCTCATCCTCTTAAAGACTTCACTCTCGAGGTTACGGCCCTGATCAGAGTTAATGAAACGTTATTTTTTTATTATTTCACTGCTAACGGCAGCTGTTCATCGGAGGCACAAGGGCGTGAGTCTATTGCTGAATTTGATATAGAATTTATCTTCCACTGATTCAAATTTCATCCAAAAAAATATATATTTATATTTAGGTTGATATGTGGTATATTATAACTGATTAAAATTTTAAATGGGCGCCACTGATTCTTTTAGACATTTGTTAACTTGGGAAAATCAGAATCCTTGATTATGAGAGATATTCAGCTGAAATAAGAAAACTCCATTAAACACATACAATTTAATAATACTTAGATTTACCATTTGTACACTACAATGTAATCACTCATAAAGGAAATCTCAACATATTAGAATATTATAGTTAGTAATCATGTGATGTTAAATTCAACTATTCAGAGCTCAATTTGGAAAAGAAAATATCATCATATATATGTATGTGGGTATACTGCAGGTTACTTCTATTGGATATAGTTAGTCAGAAGATTCATGAACCTTTAGATGGAATTAAATCCTGCACCTATGGGTAGATTTAAAGTAGAAAGTAGTTTCCAAAAGGAGCGCAATACATCAGCTTATTAAGATGATTTTAAGATTAAATTGAGGATTACACACAAAAGTTCTAATTAGGCATTATATGTCAAGATATTTGAGGATTATAGGAAAATAAATGGGGTGAAATTCTATATAAAAAAAATCTGGTTATCCAATGATGATGTTAGGTTTGATGATGGGTCATAACAGGCTTGGGTTGGTGGTCAGCCCCAAGAAACATGCAGCCATTCCCTAACAGCCACTACAAGTTCTGGACCAAAGGGGCCCACTCGATGAAGCGGATGAAACTGCATACTGATGAGCATTAGCCCAGGACAAATCCATGTCGACAGCCAGTTGAGAAGATCTAAGAGTGTTCAGTAAACCCAGCAAAGAAACCATATGGAAGAGCAATGGCGTATAACTACCATGTCTTGCAAAAAAAATGTCACAAAAGAGATTTTGAGATATAACTCACCTCTGATCGTCAGAGGGTTTGCCTAGTATAATTGGATGCATCATTGAAGTCAAGTCGTGCTGGTGGGCCATGTGGGATTCCTGTTCCTCCAAGTGCCGTCTCCTACCTCGTGGCCAAGATAACCACAAACCAAGTAGCGCCGGAATCTTCAGTTTGTCATTTCCAGAAAAATAAGGCAAGGCTTCCACAGTCCTATGACTTTGCATAGTCGACAGATTTTATTGTTAATAAAATCTCTCACAGAATTATTTGTGATTTGGAAAGAAAATTTGGATGATTTCTGAACTCACCATTCTTGTCCACCTTCATGAACGGAAATGAAAATGTCTCTACTTCTTGACAAATTGACAATTTTCCTCAACCTTGGAATTGACATGAAACACAGATTTGTTGGCATGAAAATCAACGAATCCATAGTTTTGAGCAGAAAATTACGACATGACAAAAGTCACCTGCAGCCAACAGCATCAGTCCGAAAAAGATATATACTGTGGTGAAATCTGTCAATTACTAGACATGATGACCTTGGGCTGTGGCTAGAGAATTAACATGTTAGGACCATTTGGGACTCACAATTTAAAGGTCAGAAATAATTACGTATCTCGTAGGCGAAATTTGGAGAAGAAGAATTAACGTCCTTTGACATTGAGGATACATAACCCTACTATTTTTAACTAGCAAACATTGGATAACCACTTGTTGTAAT